ACTCCCTTTCTGTAGAAGATATTGAGCTTTGAGGTCTAATAAAAGATCCCTTAAGCCTGGAAAGCAGGCAGTCTAAATTGTCCTTTCATGGCCCATTACATTAATGAGAAAAGGAGGGAGAAAGAATCAACTGAAAATATAACTTTTTGGAATGAATTCTGTTTGTCATATACACATTGTGGGGTTAAGAAAATTGAAATTAAATATTTATGTATTGGCAGGAAATGTTAAAGTAGCAAGCAAATGCCTTTGTAATTTTCTGCAGATTTGGCAGAAAGAATATATATAATAAACATATAAATATAAATACATATTTTACATATAATATATATATATATTTTCTTAAATCTGTTTCTATAGTGTATTCTGAAGAAACAAGCTGCCAAATCTGCAGAAAATTACAAAGGCGTTTGCCTTATATATATAATTTATAATCATGACAATTCCGCATGCTGTGAGAAGCTGTGATATGACACAGCACAATAACTGCCAGAATTTCTGAAAAGGGGGCTACAACATCTCCTGTTACCAGACTAACATGATTATTATATCTTACATAATATGGTGCTTGGTGTTTGCATATGCTACAGACAAAAGCACAGGTATGCCTGATGATTATTTTCCCAGAAAAGCTCCTTTTTCTTCACTCTAGGATATCACTTAGTAAATAAAAGTAAACACTTTAAATAACCCATCGGAGATTAACAAGTGTATTCTATCATAAATAACAATTCACAGCATCATATCCCATGTCAGTTGAGGAATTTTCTGTTTATGAAATTAGCAAGATTCTTTAAAATGCAGATGTTTATTTTGAGGAAGGATTGGTCACTAGCAACAGGAAATGGCTCAAGATTTTATACAAAACATTAAACTTCTCTATATTCTTTGTAATTAGCTGGAGTATTTTTCCAATTGACAGAAGATGAAGCATTTCTTCTGGTTATTTGTAGTGGACAACAATGGCATCTTGAACCAGAACAGGAAAAGTATATTTAGTTACAAACATTTAAAGGGAAAAAGGGAAGAAGTTAAATATCAGCATGACATACATTCTATTTAAAGCACATTTTAAAACTCATTCTTTGTGGTGAAAAATAGCTTAACCACATCTTCAAAAAAAAAAAAAAAAAAAACCAAAAAAACTTTTACAGGGCTCTTGTTTTAAAACTACGTAAAATATTTCTATTTTCTTACATCACTGAACATTGTGTGTTAAATGACTGATACTTATGAGTCTGCAATAAAATATAGCTTTAGGTAGAAACTGTAGAAAGGTTTATTAACCTGCAACAAAGAATGCCAGTGCTTTCCTGCTTCTGGAGGAAGGTTTTTGCAGTAATATACTGCACGGTAAGTTGATGTTTTAATGACTTTGGTTTTTATTTTATTTTTTTGTACTGAAGCATGTATCTTTTTTTTTTTTTTTCTCCATACCATTTTATGAACTTCTGGCATCCATCTGTTACAGTTCCAGATCCCAGTTGTTGTCAGATTGTTTGGACAAACTGTCAAGTATTTTCTAAGTTAATGACATTTATCACTGGTTGTCCTGGGAAATTAATGTTTGTTGACCATGACTCTTCTGACATCACTGAGACAATTATTTGCAACAGTATAGTAGCTCTGTGATAAGAGCTCTTAGATATCACAAGGCTACAACTGAATCTTTCCAGTGCTCCTGTTGTAAATAATTTAAAGGAAAGTTTGAAAGGAAATGAATGGTTCCTTAGAGAGGAAATTACATGGAGGACTAAGGTTTTGTTCTGGAGAAAGTAAGCAGGGTTATATGTAAATACAGTTTTACACATCTTTATGTAAAAATATTGCTCTGGTAGTGAAAACAAATGGGGAAATAGTAATGATGGCACATATGGTCATGTAAAGTGTGTACAGACGTAATGAATCTGAGGAAATTACTCTCTTGAGCAGTAACAACATTGCCTGATAGTGACCTGAAGATCATTTTCTCTGCCTTTGTACAAGGCAGAGAAAAAACAAACTATTATGCACTTTTGGTGAATGAAAAAAAAACACCAAGCTATATTCAGCAAATCTGCCATTTGACACATACAAAACTGACAGGTATGATTTCCATCAGACTTATTTATATTTGTAGTTTGCTTAAAATAACCTATATTTTATCTGGTTCATTTTATCTGACAAATAATTTAGGATTAATGATAAGTTCCTCTTTGTATCATTTCCCATCTGCAGCATAAGGATATGGGAAATGCCGTAACTTCTTTTCTTCATGTTTTTTATGGTCTTGAATGCCTGTGCTGGTGCTGCAGTTCATCACTAATGTTCTCCTAGTTACAGGACTTTTCCCTTAGCATTTGGTATGAATCCTGACTTTATCTATTTTTCAGAGGCTCCTGCCATTAAGGACTTTTCCTTTTTAAATCTCAAAACTTTCCTTTTGGTTACTGTCACTGGCTGTCCTGTTTCTCATTTCAACCAGTCCTCTGACTGTCTCTCCTAAATCTATAAACCACTTTCACAACCCTCCTTTGAAACCTCTCCACTATTACTGTGTCACTCTTCCTCTGTGACTTAGAACCAGACATAACTGAGGAAAAAGAAAACAACAGAAAAGGGACAAAGTTCTAGCTTGAGCAGTACCTTGTTGAAAACTTTGCTTTGGGAATTCAGTCAGGACTGTAACACTTGCTACTACATCAACACAATAAGTGTTTGTACCAGTGGCTCACGACTCCAGTGGTTTTGAATCATCAGTGCAGTTCTTTGCTGGTCATTTCAGTCAGTAGAAACCAGAGCTGCTCACAAATGGTTATACAGGGTAGGCTCACAGTCTGTATCTGCATCTACACTGGGAATTTTCCATCACACTTCTCTCTGATTTCTGTTGCATTTTGCCTATCTGGATGACCTGCCTGTGTAGTCTCTAGATTTTCTAAACAAATCTGAAATCATGAAATGTATTGCTCCTCTGGGCTAGCAAGAGATTATAATACCTGCACATCTGCCAGATTCTGTTGCTAGTTACAAGGATGTAAAACAAGAGGTCACAGTAGACAATGGGATGATTCCAAGGTTTATCAGTAGGAATGAGAAAATAATTTAGTGGAGTTCACAGAGGACGAATGATTTCCTCCCTCTCACTGCAGCTGTTTCACCGTGTTTGCTTCATTTTGCTTGACTGTATACAAATTGAAGTACCAAGCTAAAAGTGATGTGCTTTTCAGGGTTGTCATATTTTTTAAGTCAATAATCATTATAATCCAGATTTACTGAGGAAAAGATTTATTTTGGCTGCTGTAAGAGGATGTTGGTGATGGTTTTCTACTTTTAAAACCAACAGTTATTTCTGTGAATGCGTTAACATGTAAATAATTAACTGTTTGCCTTTTTTAAAGGAGCTATTCCCTCTTCTCTATACTGCTTCTTTAATTAGTTTATTATGTAAACACTGGTGTTTTGAGAACTGTTAAATCTCTGATTATGTTTACCTCTGAAAACCAAGAGAAAACTATGCAAATGTTATCAAATTTGTCCAGCTGTCCTACAATATGAAACAAGTGAATAATTTAAAAATCAACTAACAAATATATAAATAAATCAGTGCCTTCTAATGAAATTAGCAAGTGGCATGCTTGATTTTTAAACTTTTCACAGGTACTGAAATAAAATACAATGATGTGGAAATTACACTATTGTGTAGATGCTGAATGATTGGCTTCCTGCCTTCTTTTCCACTGCACCAGAAATCTTACTGACTTTTTTCATGTACAAGATGCTGGATATAGTAAATTTGTACAGTTTTTCTTACAATTTACAGAGCTTTTTGAACTACGTGGATAAGAGTAAATGAGATTAGACTGCAGCTGAAACTCGGTACAAATACATTAGAAAATCCAGTCAACATTCAGCTTGTTCTTCTATGGATTGAAAAGTGAAAAATTCAAGAAGCAGAACTTGATGGAGATTCAAAGAATCATTTGTTGCTGGTCTTTGAATGACTTGAGAGAAGAGCAAAAATTATCCACAGATAATTTTCTGGCAACATTAAAAAAAAACTTCTCTTTAACTGAAGGGATTCTCTCATTGATTGAAATTCCAGCAACTTGAGATTTTCCTATTATTAATGTGTGTTTGCAGAGTTGCTATTGTTACCAACATTCTAATTTTTCAAATAACTGATTCTTGTTCACTGGAGTAATTTGGGAATTAAACCAAAGCTGTTTTGTTAGCCAACTAAATTTCACACGATAGGGGACCGCTTTTAAAAATCCTGGAGAAAGGAACTGTGTGAGTAAGTAGTCTATCATCTCATTTACTACCTCCTAAAGAGCCACATACAACAGCTTAGCAGTGATCAAAATCTATCAAAACAAGTGTTTAACTGATTGGTGTGAAATGACTGGCACTCTTAGCTTGAGGAGTCTCTGCTCTTTGTTCCCTGGTTCGGTTTCATGTAAAGGCCAGTAATATGTAGACATGTTAGATTTCCCACTTTCAGAAGGATGTGAAATACACTGTTAGGACAGAGATAAAAATGTAGTACTTTTTTGGGGGGGTGTTTTGTCTCCAGAGCAAATCATTCATCACAAATAATAGCATCATCAGGAAAGCAGGTGAAAGAATTTTTGCTGTATGAAGATGTTCCAAAACTGGAAAGAAAAAGCAGAAAATGAACAGTTAGATGAATATTTCCTTCTGAAAAGAATCAGTAGTTAAGGGACTGTGGGATGTGAGAAAATTTTTAAGGTGGCAGAGAAAGTATTTGGTTATTCGTAGATTATATCTAGTGTAGGAGTTGAGGTAGAAGATAGCAGTAGGATTATTATGAAGCACCTGCATAAAAAGGAAACTAAAATATGAAACAGGAAACATAAAAAAGTGTACTTGCTATTTATGCTGTAGAAAACCTCTTCAATCCTTATATATGATCAAATAAAGTTATAAAAGCTGTTCAAGAAATCTGGTAGGCCCTTATTATAAAGCTTCTTCAGTATCTTTTCTTTTCCTTCCAAAAGCATCATCGTGTGATCAAGAACTTCAGTCAGCCCTGGAGGAAGCTAAACAACCCCAGAAAGATAATGTGTTCATTCCAGAATGTGCTCAGGGTGGTCTTTACAAACCAGTGCAGTGCCATCCTTCCACGGGCTACTGCTGGTGTGTTCTCGTTGATACAGGGCGTCCTATCCCGGGTACATCAACAAGGTAAGGGAATGTTCAGTACTTAAACCTTTAATGAGAAGATGGAGAAGATGCCTTTAATGTGCGTGGCCTAGCATGTAGATTTCCATTACTAGTGGAATTATACAATGTAGATATATTCCTTTAGGAAAATGAAGTGAAATGATCAAAAGTAAGGCCAGATGGCCAAAGACCAATACACTACAATGCTACAGACAGTATGGTCCCCTAGTTCTATTTTTTTTATTTTTAATTTCCATCTATTTTATGGTGATTAAACTAATGCTTGAAGCAGCCCAGAGAAAACCTCACACTTCACATAGCCTCAACATACAAGAACGGAGAAGGATGGTCTGTGACAGAAACCATGTCCAACCTCAGAAATGCGCAGTTATTTTTCCAGCAACTTCCTCAGCTATTTCATATGACTTGCTTTGGTGGAACAATTGCCTGGAAACCCATAGAACGGAAATATCATTTTTGTGTGTTACTAATAGAAGCTTTAGGAGTTCAGTCATCTCAACTGAGCCAGATGCACAGTAGTGTTGTAAGCCACATTGAGCAGATGTAGGCAAGGCAAATATCAAATTCAAAAGGATGTTATTTAGGCTGGTTATTGAGGTTTGGCCATCACAGGAATGCTATAAAAGCTCATATAAAGCTGGTGGGAAGTATGGGTATCTTGATGCAATCATAAACCATCTAAAATCTAAGCAGAAACCATTTTGGATCATTCACCTAGTATTTGTGAAAGATATTCTAAACCCCTTGCTATAATGTGTATTCTTGTGATGCAGTTTTCATGTAGTCTTCAAGTGCTGACTGAGTGATAGCTGTATATACCATAGTCTATACCAATTAAAGTAATAGATGGAATGAACATGACTTTATCAGTGATCTGTTTCTGGCAAGCTGAGGTCCATAGGTTGTCAAAACTAAGTATTACAAATTTGGTCCTGAAATCCAGGATCAGTACCGAGACTTGAAATGTTCTTCTTCTCTTCCTTTGTTCACCACTAGGTTTGTTTTCTCTTTGTTGTATTTAGTGATAATCCTTCACTGAATGATAATTTAAATCATTTTGTGGAGCCTCAGTTCTCATTCTCTAAATTAAGTCCAAATCATCTTGTTCTGGTGAAGCAATAGGATTTCTACTTTTATAGTTCTCTGTATGACTGTCATTATATTACAGAATAAATAGCTTGGATTGGAAGGGACATCTGGAAATTGTCTTGTTCCAGCTCACTGCTCAAAGCAGGGTCAGGTAGAGCAGGTTGCTAAGACCCATATCCACTTGGGCGTTTAATAGACTCCACAGCTTGTCTGGGCAACTGTACCAGTGTTTCATCAGCCTCATATGTTTAAAAGGAAAAAAAAAAAAAAAAGAAGAATTAACCCCCTTACATTTAAATGGAATTTCCAGTTTGTGCCCATTGTCTATTCACTGGACATCATTGAGAAGAGTCCATTTTCTCATGATCAGATATATACACATTGATAACATCTTCTCTGGGCCTTCTCTTCTCCTGACAGTACAGTATCTGAACAGGCTTACTCAGTCTCTCCTTTATTATGTCAAATGCTCCATTCCTCTACCATTTTCACTACCTTTTTCTTGACCCGAGCTAATATGTGTTCTAGGCCCCAGAGCTGGATCCATTGGTTAGCAGAAGGAAAGGTCACTCCCTTGGCTTGCTGGTAATACTTTTTCTAGTGTAATCCAGAAGGCTGATGGGCTTTTTTGATGCAAGGGCACGTTGCTGCCTTATACTTAGTTTAGCACTGAACAGAAATGCCAGGTCCCTTCTGCAAAGCTGTAATTCAAGTGGTTTGCCCCCAGGCTTTGCTGTGTCATGGGGTTTTTCCTTCTCAGGTAATAGAATTTTACATTTCCTTTTGTTTAACTTCATGATACTCCTGTTAGTCAGTTTCTCTAGCTTGTTGAGATTTCCCTGAATGACAGAACATACTTGGTGCACCAGCCACTTTCCCAGTTTTGTATAATCTGAAAACTTGCTAAAGGTCTACTCTAATCATTACTGAAGAGATAAACAAAAGTGGCTCTGTTATTGAACCCTAAAGCACACTGCTGGTGACTGGATCCCAGCTGGAATTTCTGTCTGGCCATAATACTTTGAGCTTGGCAGTTGATCCAGGTTTCAGTCCACCCCACTGTTCATTAATCTAGTCCACAACAGTTTGTTTATGACAGTGTTACAGAAATAGTGTCAAAAACCTCACTAAAGTTAAGATTAACAATGTCTACTGCTCTCCCCTCATCTGCTGAGCAAGCCTTTTCCCTGTATAATGAGGAGTGCTGTGTTAGACAAACAGTAAAATGCCCAAGAAATAGATAAAAATGCAATACAAAACTGGCTTTTATGAAAACCTAGAGAGGATATCCATTTGACTAAGATGAACTAATACATGTAAAGTGTGCAAACAACACTCCCCCTAAAAGTCTTATCAGAATGGCCTCTTCCAGCTTGCTTCTAGTGCTTTCTGGACGTAGAGCATGATTGTCAACCCTTTTGCTCAGCAGGGCCATGACTTTGTGTTCTCACCTGTGACTTTGAGCAGCTAGGAACATAGGCAAAATAATCTTCAGTCCATTTACACATGATTCTCTAGGATAAGGTGCTCTACGAGTTTGCCCACTGTGGAGAATTCCTGTAACTTTCTATCCTCCAGTACTACATACACCTCTAAGTCTCCAAGCAGACTGCTTAGGGATATAAAGCAGCTTTTATGAAACCATTGCTGACTCTTGATACAAGCTCAGTGTAAGGTGTTTTTTTTTTTTTTTTTTCTCTCTTTAAAAGTTTTTGAAGAGTAAATTGGGGTCTTTTGACTGCATTATTTTTAACCTGATAGTATTGCATTCTGACATGCTATCTCTTTCCCAATGAAAACTGAGGCAAATGTGTTTTACTTATCAGTTCCTGTGTGTCACAGTGTGACTGTGTCATCACGGCAAATTTCTCATGATTCACTTTATCTTTCTTGAGTTGTTTAAAGAGTTAAAAGTATACTTCTCATATTACAACATTTTAACAGCTATTGGGATTTAATAGATTTAGCTGGTATGCGATGAGCTACATCTGTATTTAACAAAAATATAAAGTGAAGGGGTAGAAGAAAAGAGGTGAAACAAGAAAGTGTAGGCAGTAACAATAACAGAAGTAGATGAAGGGAATCCATAGTCAGATATCAGGTTAATCAGGAGCCAGGCTGGTTGCCAGACACTGCATTAGTGCGTATTGCTCAGAGATTTCCCTTTCACTCTTTTTGGCTGATTGCAGTGGGCATCCATCAGGTATCTAAATCCTAGTCATGCTATCAAAGCAGCTTCTATTCTTGTTGTTTCTATACCTCTCCCATGTCTGTGAAACAACATTGTACATTCTTGAAGAAGCCAAAATTAGATGGACCAGTAGGCAGTTTCATCACATGATGTGAAAATAAATTATGCGCTCAAAGGAAGAAAAGAATTTATTTTTCTCTATCCTGGCTGGTAACTAAAGTCTGAACACTTGCATATTGTTCCTTGGGGCAGTCTAGCCTGAACTCAAGACACAGACACCATTCAGTGTTCTTAAAAAAAATATTCAGTACCAAAAATCTGAATTAGTATATTCAGATTAGACATTTTAGTATGTCCCTCAGTAAATCTGATTTGTGGGAAGCTAGAACAGAGCATTTCAAAGATGAGCAGTCAAATAGGATATAAAAGAATCTAGGTTCAATTAACATGTATGAGCACACATACATACGTGTACACAAGTCACATTACTGTGTTTAACTTAGAGTTGAAATTTCTCTTAAATGATATACACTGGATTCTGCAGCTTCAATCTACTATAGCTGAATGAAAAAATAACATTCATCAGGAGATAGTGCCAAACTGAGTGAAAAGCCACCAAGAGTTAATCATGGGATTGTAAGAAGCAAAAAAATTCAGTAAATATTGCCATGCTTCCAGTCTTGCATGAAAGATATTGCAGTGGTGTTGCACTGATCACTATTTTTTGAAGGTGCAAATAGCATAGGGTTTCTTGTTACAGACTGGACTAACAACCTGGCTTTAAGTAAATTTATCAGAAAGAAGAACCTGAATATTCATGTAGCAGGTGGAAATGAATTTTTTTCCACAACATATTTCAATCCATTCCAGTCCAATTCCCGTCCTTCCAGTTCTTCCCTCTTGTTTGAAATGCTAGCTTAGCTGTTCATGGTTAGCTCTTCATACGTAAACTAACATTTGCTTTGGAGAGGATACAGTAGTAAATGCATTTAGTGCTGCAGTATTAACTAAATACAGTACCTGCCTTGCTGTGATTTTTGAAGTTGCTTTTATGGTGTTTCACAACATGAGTACTGTGTCATATGCCAGAGTTTGTTACATTGTTTATAGCTTTTTGATCTGGCAGGCTTGAGGAGAACCTCACTTTTAAAATATTTTTTAGACTATATTTTTTATTATGGATTTTTTTATAGCAGTTCTCCACAGTTTTCTCCTCCCTGTAGAACAATCTGTTTGAAATAAATAACAATTATTCAGATTCTCTTAAGTAAGTGGAAAATAAGCAGATAAATTTGCATTGCCTCTTCTGAATGAGAAACCATTTTTTTCCCTTGTACAAAAGAAGGTACAAGTTTAATTTGGAATATAGTATTGGAAATTATTTGTAAATTAAGTTAAACTCGGCTGTTTTATTTTCTTCATGTTTGTTCTTTAGGTATGAACAACCTAAATGTGATAACAGTGCCAGAGCTCACCAAACCAAAACAAAGGATTTATACAAAGGACGACAGCTTCAAGGTCAGTCAAACAGATAAACATGGCATCATGCATTCCAGTTCTTTGATTTGTCACTGCAATAACTTAGAAAGCAATTCATTACCTCGTATCTAAACAGTATATCTCTTAGAAATTCATGCATTGATTTGCAACTAAATGAAGCATTTGGCTTTGAAACAGTGTGTATAGATATGGATCTTAAGATGTCAAAGAAAGCAAGGCGCATTTTTTCAGTGGTTATGATGCTGTTACTGAAAATGGCATTATTTCTTACTTTTACCATACCAAGAAGTGATCAATATCCTTGGTAAATTGGTCTCTATCTTCAGATCAGTGTAAAAAATGTATCGACTTACTGTTTTCTAAGACTTTAGTTTACCTTAGAAAAATATTAAATCTTCTAGGGTGTTGGAACAAACTTTGGTGCTTATCAGATTTTTGATTTCCCCCCCAACTTTTTATAAGAGTCTGAGAGATCATATTTCTGGGTTGCTGAGCTACATAGCAGTCAGATTTGCTTTATTTTTGAATTGATCTTTTAAGGCATGTAAATAACAAGGTACAGCCCATTTTAGTGGTAATGCCCATGCAGAGGGGAAATTATGAATCACTGCCATCTGTAGTAAAGAATCAGAAACAAGCAAATGATTTGAGCAGGTTTTCTGTGTCATGAGAAATATTTTAGTTTATCACTGAGAGAAATGTCTACATAATAATTCTGAATTAAACATGTCCATCAGTGTTGAAATTTGTCTTGAATGAAGCAGACATTAATGCTCTGTCATGAAACAAATGCTGTACAATCACAATGGATGTAGAAGAAGTAAGTGTAACCCCAAAACATACCTGTCTGGGTATGATGGGACATAAAGACAGGAACACACATTCGAGACAGACAAAGAAACATTCATGCAATTTTAGATGGACCTATTTTTTTCTTAATTTTTCCAGAACCACGGGTGTTATTCTTGTCATCCATGTTCAGGGAAAATAGATGCGCACAGGAGAAATAAGCTATTTAGGTACAGCACTTTAAATCATGGAAAAGAGAAGGTAACTAGTGTTTGCTTCACTTAGACAAACAAGATAAGAGCCAGAGGAGATACTGTTCCTCTGAGACCATAAGGAAGAGAAGCAGAATAGTTTTCCTCAGGAGCAGCTTTGGTACAAAAACAAACTACCCTGAACACATTTTGCCTGGAAACTGTAAAGTATTTTCCAGCTGTTAGAGCAGTCAGACAGCAGTCTTCTAAGCACTAGTAATGGGACATAAACTCTGGTTAGGTTTCAGGTAGTCTGTGGTCAATTTATGAGAGAAATAGTAGGAGAGAGGCTAACATGATTGAGGTACACTGCATTGTCTTTTATCACATAAGATACTGAACAGATACACTAAGAGATGAAAAACTGATTTTTGCTAAAATTTAATTTTGCAGCTTGACTTTCACTGCTCTTTGCAAGTTGTGTCCTTTTGGTTTCCTATGCAAAAAAAAAAAAAAAAAAAAAAAGGGGTTGAACATGCTTGGCTTGCAGTTTTGCTGTTTAGCTCTTCACAGTTCAGCAAGAGCCATATGTGCTACATAAATCTCCATATATGTAAAGTTTAGTGGTAAGTACAGCTCTGGTGACAGTCAGATTTATTATGTTTATCCATCATTTCATCAGACAGTACTTGCTTACTGAAGTTATTTACTGCTGCTTTAATTTAAAGGAAGTTAGCAGGTAGTTCAGGGGTAATTTGGGACATATTTTACAGTCCATGGAAAGCTGGCCACTAATTTCTGTGGAAATTAGATCAGGCCTACGCTCACATGTACTCTGTTCATCTCCAACAATTTCTATCAAAACAGCACTTGCATAGTTGCAGGCTTATATAATTACTTGAGTTCATTTGTGTATTTTTCTGAGTGAGAAAAACATACACTCAAAAGGGAGGATAACTCAATAAGAGAGTGAAAAGTCAAGAAATAAATTTGGCACTTAGTTCTGCAAAAGATATTGCTTGTGGGTCACTTCTGCTTGTTCCCAAAAACAAAAAGCCTGAAAAAGCATTTGACAGCTGGTTTCTAAGAGCCATGATGAGGAGCATCCAGTTTTCACACTTCTCTTTCTTCTGCAAACCGGTAGTGCTTTTATGCAGTGCAGTAATAAAGATTTATCCAAGTTGGGATACTTTACCAGTGAAACAATTAACAAGAATTTTCCATGCTGTAAGCTCCTTCATTAAGTTGGGCAATGGTCTTTTGATTTTTTCTTACCACTTACACTTGGTATTTTGTGCTACGTGAGTTTTAGTCTAGCAAACCTCTGCAGCAATGTGAGCTCATAATATCGTTATATTATATATGACACAGATTTGCTCTCCCAAGTTCATGTTGCTTACCCACAAATTATCTTTGGCTTTCAAATGCTTTATGTTGTTTTAAAATAAGACAAATACCAAAATTTCCTAAGATTTCATGAACAGTTATGAGCTAGCTAGAAAAACCTCCTTCTACTCTGTGGCATGAAGTGCATACATTTAAAAGTAATGGATGGAGTAGTTTGCTTCACAGTTACAACTGTGTTAGAGGTGTTTATTGTTCTTTCTCTCTTTTAAGGTTTTCTCTTTTCTCTCATGGCTAGTCTAATAAATACTCAAGAGATAATCACTCACTTGAAAAACTTCTCTCTTACCATCACCAAAATGCAAACACTAGATTAAGTAAAAATGAATTGAGTTTGTATTAGTGGAAAGAGGATCTTGCACAAATGAGATTCAGCCATAACCAGTAACAGGTAAAGCCATTCAGTTAATACAAGTCCACTTTTCAATAGAAATGGACTACTGTTTCTTGAAGTTTCTCTACTGTAAGCAGCACTGTAAAGGCATGTTTCCATTTGAGTTGTCTGAAGTACAACACCTGATTGCTGAGTGGTGCCAGGATTGAATAAAAACAAGTAGGTAATCTGCCCTGACTTTCAAGAGATTATAACGTTTTTGAAAGGATGATTTTGCTTGATGCTTGATTTGCAGCTTATACCCACAAAAATGCAGTAGCCATAGGTGAAACCACTATAACTGCCTGCTGTGTAAAACTAGGAAGATTTTGAAACAATTATTTTATTACTATGGATGATCATAAATAGGATAAGATCCAGTGATACATCCTCAGGTGGATTAAATTGGCATAGTTCTGCAGCTACACTGATTTATACCACCTGAAAACTCAAACTTACTACATGTTAAGCCAAATATTTTTAGCAATGATTTGCAATAAATCACAATGCAGTTTTTGGCAAACACTGATATCTTGTTAAGGCAAAATTGTAGAAAGTAAGGGCCCATTATAGTCCATGGCAAAATTCCCACTGATTTAAACTGTGCTAAGAGTATATCCTCACATCCCGAGGGTAACATAATATAAAGCATTTGACATTGAAAGCTAATCTAATGTTTTTAAGAATGATCCAAGCCACCTGTATCTGTTAGATTGGACTGGAGGTTATATTATAATAATTCTTCCCGTAAGATTTCTAGTCTTTTTTTTTTTTTTTTTTTTTTTTTTTTTTTTTTTAAGGCCAAAGCATTTTTCTGAGGTTACTTGTGGTTTTGGTCCTGCTTAGAAACCAGTTATTCTGAGATAATGAAAATGAACCCAAAAAGGAGTCCAGTGAATGTCGCAAACGAGGGAAAGCAGATTTTTTCCCTTTCTCACAGAGAGAGTTTTCAAACATTCCTATTTTGACCTTTTGTTCACCACCATGTTATACAGTAAAATGGAAGCCCAGTGATGAACTGGCACAGTCTTCTGTAGGGCCTTGAATGTTTTATTTCAGACTTTTGGATAACTAATATGTTAAAATGAAATTGAGTTTTCTGCACAAACCAGTTGCAAATATTTAAAAGTGTATAGCATGAAGGCTAGTTAAAGCTAACCCTCTAGGATGACTGAATGAGGTATAGGTGCCACTGTGTCTTTCACAATGTCATTAATCATTGGTCAGGAATAATTAGTAACAGGTCAGGAAATATTAGTTCCTGGATCTGTATCTTTAGTCTGGGTCTATGGGTGAAAGAATTGTATGTATTATGTAGCTTTCAATAGGTGAGAACAATCTCAGAGAAGCATCAGTTTAGTGGCTATGTGAGGCTGATAATTTTCTCAGAGAAAAAAAATCAAAAAAATATTTTAAAATATTTAAAAAATTTACTTTAGATCATCTGGTATTTAATTTCTCTACTGAATTTAGTAATGTGATGCACTTGCTGGAGAGAAGACATTGGGCACTGCCAGAAAATAAGGAAAATCCTGTTATAAATTTCCTGTAAAAATGCCTGTGAGACTTTCCTATGTGCATGGGTTGGTTGCTCCTAGGGCACAGAAGGGGATTGCATATATTGAGAGTTATATTTCATGTTGCATTTATTTCAAAATTCTTAATAGTACATTTCCTAATCTAGTCTTTCTGTCAAACTTTGCAGTTCCCTGGGATTCAGTGGGCACATAAATTCCGTGTAGGCTGCTTGTTCCAAAATGAAGTTTGTCTCAAATTAGAAAAGTGCACAACAAAATTAGGCAGAAATGTAATACAGCATATGTTACATACATAACATACTTCAGAGATTTCTTCACTAGCTGATAAGGACCTCATGTAAGCATATGGATGTATCTGTCTGTATCCAGCAGGGAAGTCTTGAATCTTTGAGACTATGCTCACAACTGCCTGTATCTGAGGATGGTGTAGGCTCCACAGCTGATCAGCACCACTCCTGACTGTAACCAGGCTTTGCAGAAGGCAGTTCCAAAGAGACCAAAGAGAGATTTGTGAGGTCACATAGGTTGTAAGAAGTGCAATTCTCAAATCTTCCAAGCCCTCATAGAGGGACCTTAGATCAGTAGTCTCCAAATTTTGTTTGCCCCCACCCAAAAACAGTTTTGAGTGTACGCTTTCAATAGATGTATATTTATTTTTATATTATATAAATATTATATATATCATAAAATATATAATATTCCTTATATTTACATTAGTTATAT